CAGATTCTATTTTAATCTTTGGGATCACATTTTATATAAAATTCACCCCCTCCCTTAAATCAGAGTGGAGACTGTCTGCATCTTGAAGTGGGAATTCCTGGTGTGTGACTGATACCATGTCTAAAGCCTGCCCCATTCTACTGGAGTCCCCTGCATCCCCTAGTTAATGTTTTTGAATGGAAACCCTTGCATCATATTATTTTAACTTCAGACTCCCAAAGTTATGATTTTTTTGCACCCTCAATCCTAATTCAAGATGTTGTAGCATGCACAATTGTGTCATCTCAACTGTGCCTGGTGAATTGAATTTGAAATGTTGCTGAGTGGTTGGCTAAACTTGGTACAGAACGGAGGCATACTGAGTGAGCAATGCAAATGTTGCAGAATTGGATTTGTATGCAAACTATGAGAAAATAACACATGGTAAGCTTATGATATAGTCAGGTCTATGAAGGATGTTATTTTGACAGTGCTTGTTATTCAGAAGGACAGACTGGCTCCAGAACTCATTGGTGTGGGTCTCTGGATTGACTTGGCACCAAGAAGACTTATTTGCCTTGATGGTAGCACAAACTACAGCATGGGGCACCTGCTACAACCAGTGGCTGCTGGGTTGGCAGCCGCAGAGTGGGTCACGTCTGTCACCTGCCCTTGTGTTGGGAGACTTCTGGCTGTTTTCCCCTGGCAAATGCCATTTTTCTGTCATCACCTTTGGAATTAGTGACTCTGTCCTTTTCCAGTTACAGACTCATTATGTTAATCTCAAATAGAGCACTTACTTTCAAATATTGATACTTATTTATCTGCTAGTGTGTTGAGAAAGCCCACATAAATGTATTCTGGAATCTATGAACTGTCAAAATTGAGACCTATTTAGAAGGTAACTGGAGGCTTTTAAACATCACATGGCATTGGTCAAATTACAGATTTTTTTTTCTGTGATGTTAATAGTTTTTCAAGAAAAACACCAAAAAAGCAAAGAACAAAACCAACCAACCAAGCACACAAACAAACCGCTCTTATCCAAGATGGAAATTTAACAGGAATTTGGAGTTGCTGAAATTGTGGAGAAAACACAGTAGCATATTAGGGGTAAAGGTATTATTTTTGGAAATAAGAAAGGCTTTAGGTGGAATCAGGGAGAAGAGAAAGGCAGTAATAGGGGAGGGGAGGAAGAAACCAAGGCAGAGGTGCTTTGAGTGTGGCTTCCTAATGCACTGGAAGCCTCAGCTCTTTCTTAGAGTCTTACATACAGATAGGGCATCATCACTAAACTTGACAACATAAGAGGGTATTGAAAAATGAAATTGGACAAGATTACAAATAATGTTACATAATATGTTTCTGAAACTTGCCTCACATAGCCAGGGTCCTATCTTACAATGTTATTTCAGTAGGTCCTTAATTTGTTTCCTTTGTAGCTGTTCCCTCACAGAGTAGGTATTAAATACTGTACTGGCCATTGATTTCAAATACCCTGCTGTGATTTGAAATAGCGGTCTCTTCTGAAGTCCGCCTCAGAAGAGAAGTACAGGAAGATAATCAGCAAATGTGAATTTGTTCCACTGATTCATCAACTAGTCCTGGAAATTTGTCAAGGCTTTAGTGGCTTAAAGCTGGTGAGCGAGCTGAATAATTAAAAGAGAGATTATAAATTACTAGGATTAACGATATGACATATTTGGTTTTTTATAGCTTCAAACTATCTCCCTATGAGAAAAGTTTTAAAAGGAACTATAAGATTAAAATCATAAGTATATTTATTTACAAGTCATTACTTGTTAAATTTAAAGACAACCTTTAGACTTACGTATTTGTAATTCCATAAGAGAATAACGGTATCATGGCTGGAGAGGTGACTCAGCAATTCAGAGTGTACACTGCTCCTAGAGAAGTCCTGAGTTCATTTCCCAGCATCCCTGTCAGGTAACTGATAACTTCCTGTAACTCCAGCTTCCAGGGACCTGACAGCCTCCTCTGGGCTCCATGTCTCCTACACACAAATGCACATTCTTTATTCTTACACAGAGTTAGAAAGATGTAAGACTAAGTACAGCACTTACATGGGGTAAGTAACGACTTGAGAACTACTCATGTCTTTTGGTCTTTATTTCTACTAGAAGTATTGTTGGGAGATAGTGTGAAATTACAAAATAAAAAATACCCAAATAATATGTTTATAAAAGCAGAAATTTAAATCTATAGTTAATCTAAATCTTTTCTGTTTTTATGGCACCGTATCAAAAATTTGGGTTACAGAGACTCAGGGTTGGAGTTGTGTAGTTTCCTTTGTAATAACAGGGAGAAGCATGTAAGAGGAAGAAATGGTATTCAAGGGCACTACCAAGATCTCAATGACCCAGACTTAAAATTATGATCAGTGGTAGCTCAGCCTCTCTGGTTTCTGGAAACAGAGGTATGAAATGGCACTACGATAAAACAATATCATCTGCCTGAAGTATATGACTAGTATCGATTATGGAGTATGCAGAAGGTCAGGTTATCTTGAGGAAGGATTCTCAGGTGGCTCTAGGGCTCTTCTTTCAAGTAACAGATACCCCATGCTTGAGAGGCAGAAATAAAGGGCAGCT